CTAACCATTACTCGGCCAGATATTTCATTTGCGGTTAGTGTGGTGAGTCAGTTCATGCAAAAACCTTTGGTCCCACATTGGAATGCAGTGCTAAGGATTGTGAGGTACTTGAAAGGAGCTCCTGGCCGTGGTTTGCTGTACAAAGGTGGTGGAAAACTGGAAGTAGAAGGATACACCGATGCTGATTGGGCAGGTTCTATGTCTGATAAACGGTCTACCACAGGTTTTTGCACCTTTCTGGGGGGTAACCTGGTAACATGGAAAAGTAAGAAGCAAACAGTTGTGGCAAGAAGCAGTACAGAAGCAAAATATAGGGCCATGGCACATACTGCTTGTGAATTAGTGTGGCTAAGGAACCTTCTACAAGAGATAGGAYATGACATCAGTACTCCAATGAAGMTCTATTGTGACAATCAGGCAGCGGTTCATATCTCTTCCAATCCGGTGTTTCATGAAACAACCAAGCACATTGAAGTTGACCGTCATTTTGTGAGAGAGAAGGTGCTGAATGGAATGATAGAGACTGCATATGTTAATACGGGAAATCAGTGGGCAGATTTGTTTACAAAAGGTTTGAGTCGGGGAAGAGTGGACTACATATGTAACAAGCTGGGATTATATGATATATACWCACCAGCTTGAGGGGGAGTGTTAGTGAAGGGGTATTTCGGTCTTTGTACCTGTTGAGATTGCTGATGTGTACTATTATGTTAGTTCAAGTGCCTTTTACTTAAATAAGGGCACTTATGTCTTTTCCAATTACATTAATAATATAATAACAGGTCTGGCCGAAACTGGGGTTGACTTTTCCTATTTTCGAACCAGACCTTTTCTCTTCTCCTTCCTCTTTCTTTCTTCTTCTTTCCTCTCTTCCTTCTTGCTGTTTACTTTACTTTTCAGCTAACAAACAAAACAGACTTCTAGGGCGAAGGGGGGTATACACAAAGTTATACCTGCGGAGAGATGCTTTAGAAAAATAAATAGGACAAAGACTATGTGAATGAAAATTGCACTATAATAGAATTTGGAATGAGGTGTAATTAGAAATTGCTGGCTTGAAACAACCATTTGTTTGTCCTTGTTTATAAATCCGCAGCAAGAGATAGAAGAGGAAACAAATTATGTGGTAGATACATCTTAAGTGTTGTTTTACCAGTAACTACTAATGAAATCCAAAAGGGAAATTTACTGGAGTTGGGAAGACTGGAGTTTTAGATAAATCAAGGACATGCATAGGGAGGCTCAAAAGACATGCATTGAAGGAGTGAGAAAAGATACTGATCAAAAAAGGAGTGAGAAAAGATTGGAGGATTCTTTGTCTAATTTGGGATATGGCTCGTGATAGAGTGAAAAGGCAACAGGATTCGTGCAGCTAACCCCAAGTAGTTAGATATGGTTTTAAGTATTTCATTAGCTATATTTTGATCTCAAATATACAATTTATGCATCACAGGTTTCTTCTCTTTCCTTACACCCATTGGAAAAGTTCACCACATGGTGGGTATCAGATGTTCTGATCAATATTTCTCTTCTACAGATTTAAAAACAATGTCAAAGAGGCTGGAGTCTGGACAATACTATGTTACATTTGAGATGTTTGTTGCAGATGTCAAGAGGATGTTTGCCAATGCACGCACCTACAACTCACCTGACACCATCTACTATAAATGTGCAACCAGGTGAGTTTGGTGGTCTGATCCCCTATTTCATCCTTTTTTTTTTCTTTTCTACTAATTGTAATTTACCATAATTCATAGGCTGGAAAATCATTTCTCAACCAAAGTCCAGGTTCATCTTCAATCCAAACTTCAGCAATAATGAAATTCAAATACCATGAATGTGACTCTGTTGTTCATGTGGTTGCGTTCTGATTCTGATCATTTCAGCGCTTGCACTGTATCATTTCTGCTGTCAAAGTGGTATACATTTTTTTTATCTTTTTTCCTTTTATTTTTTAAATTCTGTTTAAATATGGACAGTTTAAACTTCTGATGATGATACTGATTTCCAACAGGTTCTAAAATATTCCTGCAATGATTGTACGGTAATAGTACAAAAAGGTTTACAAGTATGCCAAAAAAATTCAGTGTATTTTATTTTAAATGCTATCTGCAATATCTGGCACAAAATGACCAAATCTAGTGGTGGTAATTTTGAGTCTTGTAATTGAGTACCTGTATTCGTGGACATAGGAATTCAGGCCCGGGTGTACAAGGTTTGGAATTTCTGTCATGTATTTTTATGCATTTCTTATGATTCTAAATTCAGAAAGAGAGTTCTTACCAATAAGAATTATTTCTGTTTTCCACTTGGACCYTAGAAAATGAAATCATATGCTGGCAGTTGGTCAACATTATACCATCACAACCTCTAAACTACAAATACATAGTTTCCATAGGCCTCAGTAAATAATTTTAAAATTTTACTCTGGAACTCATTTTGATTGTAATGACCTTTGAATTTACAAATTCATCCACAGGTTGAGGTATTTAGATGGAGTGCTACATCCATTCGTCCAAAGCGCCTAAATAGCAAATTTCTATAAGACATGAAAATGTTGTTTTAAACATTGGTTTTCTATGGTAAATCTTCCGTTGTTAATACAGGAAACTTAGCTAGTAAATGACAGCTCTGAGCTAGTGGATGACAGCAGATCTTGGGGGAATGAATAAGCTTTGCTAAATCAAGGTTTAAATTACCTACTTGTAACTCTAACAGCACTAAGTCTCTCTCCCTAATGTTATAAACTTATAATCTTCAAGGACAAGGTTCAAAGTATCAACACGTATTGGCCGATATATATCGTTCCGGGATCCTTCTGATACGCCCTTACAGTGGGTGTATCGGGGGTCTGACCGGTTCAGAGGGTGGAGGAGCTCTAAACCGGCCTCCCTGAACTGGTTTTGAAAAAAAAATAAAAAAAAAAGTAAAAAAAGGTATTGATGCGTCGGTAGGGGCACATCGGGCGTACCGATATTCTGAACCTTGAAGGAGGATGCAGTGGAGGCAGAGTATCACAAGAGTAATGTTTTCAAAACCAGACCGGACTGGATGGTCGGACCAGAAAAGTTGGGAATCAGTCACCTAATCATTCTATTTTACCCCAATACCGCTTTTTGGTCAAAATCATTGATTTAACCAACAAACCACTGGCCCAAGCAGTCAAACTGTTGACCTAGAATAGAATGGGCCATCTGTTCAGACTGGACGGTTGGACTGTTTGACCCAGGAACCAGTCCCTAGAAACCGGTATGGTTTTAAATACCTTGCACAAGAGTGACTTCTCTTGTGCCTATTTATTGGAAAACGGATGCTACAGAGGCTTGGTCATCAGAGTTCAAAGGTCACAAAGAACAAGGTGTGTATGCATGAGCTTTTTGCATTTGTACAAAACGTTCCTTTTTATTGGAGAGATTGTGTAAACATTCTTTCTAAGAAAAAATTGAAGGGATGTGAGTCCATCACATGGACGCCCAAATCGTGTAGAATAGGGTGGGCGAATTTCAAAAGTTTCTATCCCTTTAACTGGGAATCGTATTCCCTATTTTAAAAAAATCATATTTTTTAAGGATCAATCTTGAACTATAAACCGAACTAGATTTGAAACGAAACAGTAGGAGAGGGATGTACCTGATACAGAGAAATAGCATCTCTTAATGGAGGTGTTCACGCCCAAAGATCACCAAAGACTGCTCCCACTGAAAATGACACAATGAATGGAGGAGCAAAATCAGTAATGTCCGTCCCATGAACCGAATTCTTCAGCAAGAATCCAATGGAGATAGTGAGCACAACTTCCTATCAGCCTTTCAGCAAATATTGATGTCAATATCCAATCTTAACCACTCCTATGATGTTGGAGAACAAACTGGCAGTATGGCGGCGGCAGGAAGGGATCACAAGGAGAAGGCGCAGTCACACTGTGTATTCTTTTCTCTGTAATTCAAGATCTAGTATCTCTGGAACTTCTGGGATGGTTTGGATGGTTCGCCCCCTCCTGCCTTTATAGGCTTAAAGAGATCAGCTCCTGATCTCATCAGGAGTTTCCTAATTCAGATCATTATCTGAATTTGGACTTTCTTTAAGTGATAAGGATAAGACCCTTATCTTATTTGCATATTAGATCAGCCTTCTCCTGATCTTATCAGGAGGTTTCCAAATCTGAATTCAGATCTGATCTCTCTGAGTGGATAGGGTAAGACTCTATCCTATCTACTGATTTAATCCTAGATCCGCCTCTATTTAATTAAAATGACCAGTTCGAAATGGGCTTCAGGCMCAATAAGTCCATGTGCTCAAAACTGCTTCCAAACTATTGCCCAGTTGGGCTTCTTTGTATGGCGTGGGACCCAAGCATTGATATTCGCATCAGCCACATGAGTTCGGCCCAGCCTTTGTTACAAGGTCTGGCCGAATACACTGTTGTGGACAGTGCACCTCCTGAAACCCATCACATGGGCTTCTATTGGGCCCAACACTTACATTAAGTGGTCTCTGGGCCAAGCCACCTTATAAAAACCCAGGGATTGGGCAGATGCAAGATTAGCCCATCAGGTATTACCCTCAGTGGCCTTACACTTAACCTCTCAGCCCATAATGATCAAACATTGCCCGACAAGAGAGGACCTCTCCCTCGGCTGCAAGGAACAGTGTTGCACTCTCTGCTTATATGGATCCCGGGAATTAAAACCTTTTTACTAACGTT